ACCAAACTCTGTCAAATGAATTTTGGGTGTCCTGTTGAGAAAGAACATATTAAGTGGGTCTTGAAGCTTTAGATGAACAGAGACTATGAGATGTGCACCACTCACTGGCGCCCTACATTTGTTTTTAGGTTCAATGGTAAATGGATGGGGTTCTGCGTCTGATGAGGACCGTAACTTTTCTAGCCATAGATGTAGTGTAGGTAGCTCCTCAGATGACTCCATCTTTACCAGCGGCACTTTTGCACAAGCACTGGTTGCAGCAGCAGATAAAGCTGGGTTTAGGCTGCATGGAACCAGCCTGACAAGAACAGGTTTGTAGACTCCAAGGTGATGCTTTCTGCATGGAGGGTGACTCTGCCTATCCTTCTCTCAGTGAAGTTGTGCCTCACACTTGTCTAACATGCATGGGAGAGGGTGGATGGAGATACTTCTTTGGGTATATTTTAAATGAAACCTTGCACTGTGTTTCACTTTTAGTGGTTTGAAGTAGTGAATAGCACAAGCTTTTAATCTGCACCTTTGGTCTGCTGCAGCTCTCCTCAGTGCTGACTCTGCTCTGGATTTACTGACATATGCTCATTTAATATTTCGGTGAAGAAATTACTAATTCTGCCCTGCAGCCTTTGATGATTTCATTTTCTGAAAAATATCCTCACAATCACTCACATTTCCAGTGATGAACAACACCTTTAAACCTCCATCCCTGCTCTTCTGTTGCATTTCATCCTGCAAAAGTGTGTTTTTCTGTGAAGTTTTTCTGAGCATGGGGTGAATTGGTGTGCTTTGATTGTTAACAATATAAACTGTTTACAGTTTAATAATAGCTGATTTTAAAAATCCTTTATTCAATAAGTTAATGCCTTTTTATAACATTTAATTTTGGTTGTGCCAACTGAATCTGCCAAGTAAAATATAACACAGGTAAAGTGGATATTACATTTGAAAATAGCCAATCTTCTGAAATTAATTAATGAAAAGTAAATATAATTTAGTTATTTTTAAAGCTCCGTATGTTTTATTTCTATTTAAAAATATAAAGAAATATTATCTTTATTCCGGTAAGAAAAGGATACATTTTCATTTCCTTAGTCTTGTGAAAATAGCAACAATAACTAATTATTTAAATCCACAAATCTAATTTAGTGGAGTATGAACTTGGGTCATATTTTTTGTTATGTTTCCTCAGCTAATTCTGGACGACAGGTCCCATAATATTCCCATCATTTAAATTTTTTAGACTATCAGTCTGGTATGAAGTCTCTCCTTCAGTAAAATGTGTGCATTCAAGAGAAAGTCTCATATGCTGGGGCTGAAAACTGTTGGCTTTCAGCATGCAGTAACTTCATTGCAAGGATTGCCTTTTAGGAACATTAGGAATAAAGGAAAGAGTTGATGGCAAAGTCCTAAAATCCAGCTTTTTTTCAAATCACTGGGATTTTTACCACTGGCTTTGGTCAGACACGGTCATCCTTGAAAGATTATTTCACCAGAGCTGAAGCCCTCAGTTGTTTCCCTCAATTAATATAAAATGGAGTAAATCTGTCTTATCACTTAAAAAAAAAAATTAAAAAAAAAAAAAGAAAGCAAACCCAAACAAGAAAACTCATAAGCTCACGTAGACTTTAACTTATCTAATATGGACACATCTGGCCAAACTATAACTTAAAATATTCTGTTTTCCTTGAAGAGTCTCCCAGGTTCTGAATGAAAGGAGTAAATCTTTTCCAACCTTTTTTTTGATGGTGTTTGTTCCAGTAAAAGTTAATGCAAACATTCACCAAAATTATTTGTATCAAACCTTTGAGAAGTGCAGTTTCTACCAAAAACGCACTCATAACAGAACAGAAGTAAATGGATACACAAACACAGAATAAATATGACACACTTTAAAATAAATAGGATTTTTTTATTGTAGCTATGTGAATGGAAACTACAAGGACAGGATGAGAGCCCCCTTGTCAGTTGTATTTTCCTAGCTTGATTAGGTCAGAAATGCACTTAAAGTGAATATGTGTGTAAATCCTCACAGACCATTAGAACACAGGGTACAAAAAAGGATCCAGCAGTTGTGGTAGAGACTTTATGATTATTACTCTCTTAATGATCCAGCAGGCAAAATGGAAATAAAATAAAAACCCACACGTAAGCCCTCCCTCCTTTTCCTCACAGAAACATCAGCAAATGATTTTTTTGCTCACTGCAAAAAGTCTCCCCTTGTTCCCTGTGGTGCCATCAGGATGTCACCTCTCAGGGCAGGGTGGCTCTGTCAGATATCCCTGTTCCAGCCCCCCAGAGTGCCTGGCAGAGCCTGGCAGTGCAGAAACAGCAGGGTTATCCTGCTCATTGCCCTGAAGGGAGCCTGCAGGCCCTGACTCTATTCCTCTGCAGTCTGGACAGTCATTTCCAGCCATTTAGAACAGCTGTGAAATGCTCTCAGCGGTAGATGCTGAAGGAGGTGTCCAGCTTGATAGCCTCACGTGGGAATGTTTGATTGCCAAGCAGGAGAGGCACTGGTGAATCCAGATGCAATGTGTCTCTCCTGCCAGACACTTTGATTCCAGTTTCCAGAAGCCATCATGTGATTTGCCACAAAGTTAAAACAGCTTTCCTTTCTAACACCCTCGGGAAATTAAATCAAGAATTAGTGGATTCATCCTTGTCTCCACTTAAACACACTAAATCTGCTGCAGAAAGTCTGACACTGCTCAGCAGTTCTTACTGGCAGGGCTGCACACAAATACAAGATGCTGTAATAAGTTATGAAGTGCATTGAAAAATGTGCTATGGGGGTCTGCGCATCATTTGTGTTTGCCCCATGTATGATTTAGGTCAGTGCTATTTATTTTACCTCATTTTCGTGAAGGGATAAAAGAGAATGTTTGGTGTCTATTTCTTTTTAAAACCAGCATTCTGAATGAATAATCACTTTCCTTTAGTCAAAAGAGTAAGTGTGAAGAATCTGTGTCCTGCACTCACTAGTTGTGAGTTTATTTTTGCAAAACATCTGTGCAGCGTGCTGTGAGCTGGGATGGAATTTCAGGCTCACATCTGAATTTCTTTGCATTAGGAGTCTTTTTTTAAATTTTTAAATGAAATCTTAATATTTCTTCTGTGTTCATCTGCTGTGTTATCCTTATCTGTGAAAAAAGGGCTTGATCACTTGTCTTTGTCTGGCTGCAGCTGTGCCAGCTATAGAGGTTCATGTTCCCAAATGCTTATTCCTTGCTTTCTTCCAGCTCCAGAATTAGCTGCTTGGGCGGAGGTTCTGTAACCCAATTTCAGTTAAAATGAGCTAGGTTAGCAAAGGCATTGCTTTCAGACTATATAAATTCAATTGAAATTTTAAATTTTTTTTTGTTTGTTTTTTGTTTTTTGTTTTTTTGTTTTTTTTTGTTTTGTAGAGGAGGGTTAGGAAATGTCCAGATGAGGGCTTGAAATGCTTGTAACGTGGTGACCTCTGATAGCTGGCACAGATGGGCAGCTGGGGACAAGCCTGCCTGAGAGCAATGCCCTCTTCAGGGTGCAAAACAGTCAGAAGGTAGAAGAGCAAGCCTGAGACAGTCACAAAATCTCAGAAGTCAAATAGTGAAATGTTATCCTAACATGTATGCGTTAATGTGAAACAACATGTTAGAGAGGTTGTGGCCACTTTTTCACTTTGGCCTCTTGGTGCTGAGAATGTTTCAAGTAGGATGCTGGGCTGCATATTACTCCCAGTTAGGTTTTTTAGATCAGGTTGTATATGACAGCATGTTGGAAGTAAGCACATCTGTTGGAAGGTTTTACTAGAAAACATAACCCACTGCAGGGTAGACCATGGTCTAAGTTAACCAGAAGATAAAAATACCTCCTTCCTATCATGGGCTCACTTGACCAGAAAAATAGAAATCACCCATTTTGCCCCTTTCTATCATCTCTTACACCATTTGGACCTGCAGCAGCACTGAAAGAGTAGTGTTTTGGACAGGCTTATGCATTTTCCACTGCAGATAGCATTAAAATACGTAAGAGTTTTAATTACCAATTCTAAATGAATTAAGATGTTAGCATCTCCAAAATTTTGCAGGAACGACATACACATGAACAAAAGAAAGTCAAAGATGGTGATTTTTACTTTTCATCAGTTATCATTAAATATTGTCTAGTTAACGGAATAAAAATATCAGGATAAGAGAAACTGAATGTAGTAAATTCCAAGGCTTTTAATCATCTGTTCCATAGAACAACATCAAAGATATTTCTTTAAGAGAAATCACATAGCTTGAATAGTGTGTATATATATATATTTTTTATATATATATATATTTATATATATATACTTATATACATACACACATATATCTATATATATGAGATATAAAACAATGTATAAATAAATCTGAGGTCACAATAGGTATTTTTAACAAATAAAAGTACTGAAAATTAACTGGAAATGTTAGCATTTAAATATACCCCCATTTTTATTTTTTGAGAAAAGAGAGCCTTTAAGTATACAGTGCTACAGAGCTACATAGCTTGCAAAATCAGTTATGTTTATCTCACTGGAGTTACTCCAGATATACGGTGCATATGGGAGGCCCTAAAATGAGAATCTGGCTCAGAAAACATGAAAGTGGAAGGCAGGAGGAGATAAATTTAATATGACTGCAGAACTGTTTTCCTTCCCTGTCCAAGGCTGAGGAGTTGTTGTGACACATCTGTTCAGCACACAGAGCAGGTAGGAGTTACATGGCATACAGTAGTTTTATTGCAACAGATGGAATAATTATAATTATAGAAGTTAAAGACAAAAGAATGCCAAGTTTCCCTACTTCACTTGTTGTGGTATGTCTCAAAGCAGTTGTTATCAGTGGGTACCTTGGGGGGACACTTGCCTGCCTCTGAGAATTAGACCTGATTTAATGTTTCGGAGCAGACATTAATAGAACAGCCCATTTCAAGGCAATAACATTTTTTCTTCTGGTTTCTCTCTTTTTTTTTTTTTTTTTTTTCTTCTTTAGGCAAAGCATATTCTTCCTCTCAGAGACCTCGGCCAGGCAGTCCTTTCTCTACTGACAGCAACACGAGTGCAGCTGTCAGTCAGGGTCAGAGGCAGAGGCCCACGAAGAAACACAAGGGCGGGCGTTTGGAGCAGCCCCCTCTGCCTCATCGCCGCGAGGGAATCACGGACGGTGAGTGCTGGGCAGGGAAACCTGCTACAGGAGCTATGCACAGCAGCCCAAGGCACACACTTCCCAGGAATATCAATTCAGCAATATCAATTGCTGCTCTGGTGGAGTTGGGCTCCCCAGGTTGCTGTGTGAGCAGCGTTGGAGCTCTGGCAGTGCGGGGCTTGGGTGAGGGTTGGAGGAGCCTTTTCCCATTTCTGCTCTGGACATGTTGTCATCTCTTAGGGTTTCTCAGATCTCAGTATAAATCTTACCCCAAAATGACTGCATTGCACATGAGTTGACATTGAAAAATGGCCTGTAATTTTACATTTTATGAAAGTAGCCACCACTAGCAGTAGGTGTATGCCATGAATTTCTAAGGAGAAGCGGAGAGCTGCTCCCACAGGACTTGTTTGCTTTGTGCTGGTTTTGACAGGCACCCAACAGCTACAGCAACATGTGCCATGTTTTCCCATGATTCTGCCTCACCTCTTGTCTGTGCTGCTCCAGTCCTGACATCCACTGACCTCAGTGACTGTGTCTCCCTCTTTTACATCTCCACTTCTCTCTTACGACTACTTTCCATCTGGACATTTCAGGCGTGTCTGTTCTGCTCTTCTAATAATTAAGATCAGCTCTTTCTTCCATTTTCTTTGGCTACCCTTCTTGAGCCTGGCAAAAGTCACAAGTTAGTTTTTGAGTAAGACTGGATAGGAAGGTGGCCAGCTGCTACCTCCCCCCCATTTCTTCTGATCCCTGGCCTTGCACCTGTAGGTGTTGAAATGATCAGAGTGTTCACCAAAGGGGTTATTGTTACATCTCTTGCTCTGTGGCTAATTCTACCTGTGATATTATTTGTGGAAGCTGCTTAAAGTAGCTTAGATTCTGCTCCTATGGATCCAAGTTCCTTTAAACAATATTTCCCTCCCCTTGTGGATATATTACAGAGGCCTCTCTATTACACAGATCCTTTGAATAGATGTGCCTTTGAGAACAGTAACTGCAAAGTTATGGATGTCACTTTTAGAGGTGGCCATACTCTTGTTGTATGTGTTTTGTTAACCCTTCTGAATGCCATATCCTGTCACCCTGAACTGTGAGCATCTTAGGCCACAAATTCTGTGTACATGTGAGCTTGTAGTGCACTCAGTGTGGTGGACACTAATCCTTCTGCTTCTGAATACTGTAGCTACAGAAGTGTTTTACAATAGTGGGGATAGCAGAAAATTAATGGGGATCCAGTTCAGGTCATGAGACAGATGGAAGTGGGGCTCCTCAGAGAGTGACTCCATCATAAAATTTGGCATTTTTTTAAATAAGTGAAAGATATCCAATTTTAAGATTAATTTTAAAAGAGGAATCTCCTATTACTTCATATTTATCCTTAATATAATACTAATCTTACTGGAGTTTTTTTCATGTATTTAAATCAGATTATCAATGATATATTATTTCCTTCAACCTCTCAGACATGGGCAATAACCATAACAGCTTTCGGATGCCATTAGATTAATATTTGTCTTTTATAAACCTAGTTAAAATTCTTGCTATATGTTGCAAAAAATTATAATGTCCTGGAGCAATAGAGGAACAGTTCCCAGCCTGTATTAACACAGGAACAAACAAACAAACACAAATGGTGCAGTTTTCTGCTTCAACTCCTACTGAATATGAGTCATTAAAGTGTAATGTCAAGTCTGAGTCATAGTTAAATTTGCAAAAGATCATTTGTCAATTTAGGAAGCTAGAAGTTGCTGCTGCCACCTGCATGTATGTAAACAATTGAATTTAGGGATCTCTGGTTCACAGAAATTAAAAATGGCAACTGGGTGCTTTCTGGGGAATATTGCAATGAACTTTACAGTGACAGACACTATCACTGTGCTTAGGCTATAACTATAACGAGGAAGGAGGACAGCCTCGGATAGATCCAGCAATTCCAAGCCCTAATCCAGGCCAGTCCATTCAGCCCTGGGCCATCCTGAATTCTGTGAAAAGCATCACTATACATTTTCTCTGTTTTTTCTGATGTCTCAAATCCATTGCCTTATATCTGCTTCCTCTTGGATTTGTCTTGTGAGAATATACTTGGTTTGCAAGTTGTTTTCAAATTCCCAAGCTGGATGAGTCCTGCTATCCTGTGTTTAAGTCTCATCACATGCCGGATGTCTGTCATTTTCAATTTTCATTGACTAAGAAAGCTCCAGCTTTCTCTGCCCATTCCCATACACATCCTGAGTGCTTCCTCCTTGTTAACTGTAACCATGTGGGACAGTGCAAAAGACCTAAGAAACTGTAATATTTAACACATAGCACACACATCTCAGACCGTGTAAGCATTTGAGGGCTCAACTTCATGCTTAGTTTTGACAGCAATCCACACAAATCCCCTAAAACCCTGCTTCTTCATTTCCTTCAGCTGCAGGTCAGAAGCCCCTAGAGACTGACTCTAGATGGAGTCTTCATATTTGTCTTGCTGTACAACTTGTTTTTTCACTTCCACATCCTGAAAGACTGTGGAGACAGCAGCAAATCCACAGAGGAAGAATATGTTATGAATCCCTCAGATGGTCAAAACTTTCAATCTGAGCTCACAGTTCACCATAAAACAAAGACAAAAATGGAAAAAAAAAACCCAAACAAAACCCTGAGTGGTTTTAGTGTTAGTGCTCTAGGAATAATTTGTTTTCCTAGCAACAATGAATAGCAAAACAGTGGAATCTGTCATATAGTTTGCAGCACAGTAACTGTGTGACTGAAGTTAAAAGCCCTTCCTTAACTGAGCAGGATATGCAAAAAAAAAAAAAATCAAAGAGGAGGCAGAAGGGAATTATGCTTTGGGTTTGAAAAGGAGAACTGGGACATAAGACTTATGTTACCATGCCTTGCTACTAACTTCCTACTGTGTGTTAAAAATAATTTCTAATGTTGAGAAAATACTTACCTTCTTGATGGTACAAGGTGTTTCAGGGGCTTATTAAATGTCACAGTAATTATCTCTCCTATGAGAAGAAATCACTGACACAGGTAGAAAGGTGTGTCCTTATGGGTTCTTTAACTTGCTGCCTTTTCCAGTTAATAATGAGAAGCTGTGCCAAACCCTGACTGCTGCCTGAATCATTTAGCCAGTGCTCTGCCTTCTAAAGAAGGGCTGGAGTAATCCCAGACTGAAAATCCATCTCCCCCTTATCAGGCACTCTGGTGTCCTACAGCTCCTCAATCACAATCCCTCCATTACTGAATCAATAAGACCATCACCTCCCCACCAATGTACTTATGAATTGCCTTGCAGGTTTGATAATCCTGCCATTAGAGGCTTCAGAATGAAAGTCTGGATGACATCCTACTGACCTAGAAAGTTACTGGCTCAGTGCAGGCTTTCAGGTATTTTCCCTACCACCTGAAGGATAAATGAGATTTAGGTGGAAGTAGGGTGAATCAGTGTTACCACTCTGGGTATCCTCACTGAAAATCCCACTGGAGTCCATACATTTCTAAATTCAGAACTTCTCTGAAGGGATTGACATGATGAAATGCTTGACATGATTGCCTTTATGTGGTAATATGTCTTCCTGTGAGGATCTGGGGCTTCTAATTCAGCTGACATCTGTTACTCCTTTATCAGGGGTAGGAAAGCCAAGGCAAGGCAAGACTGCTCTCAATGGTGTCTCAAACTCATGAGTCCAGATGGGATCTTTCTATCAATCCAGGCAAGGGAGCAGAAAATACTTAGTTATTTACTAAGGCACAAGATTTACATTGCAGGATGTGAGTTGTAGAGCAAATCGAAAGCCACCTTTCCAAATGAAGCTCCCTTCCAGCTTCTTTTATTGAAAAGGACAGGTAGGTGTTGCTGTGGCTGTCAACCTGAGTAAGGAGGTGAAGAAGCAAACAGTTCAGTCAGGTGATGTTTGGCTACAATTAGTAGCTGTTCTTACACATCTTCTGAGACACTTGTAACACAGTTCAGTAAGTTTGTACTCAGGCCAGAGCCAGTTAATGTTAATTCCAAAGTACCTGTAATTCTTCTAGAATTCTGAGAAGCTTCATTATAAGATGCATTTTATTTTTCTCTTCAGCTCATCCATAGGTTTAAGGCACCCAAGGAAATTTACAAACGTGGTGTTTCATTTCACTTCTATGCATAAGTCAGTCTTTATGCTTGTTTTGTGGATGGGTAAAAGCAATAATCAGGTTAGGAGTAGATGAGCACCATAACTCTACGGTAATTCCAGGAGTTGCAGCCAGCTCTAGAACATGCTTATAGTTTAAGTACAAGCCTTCTTTCCTTTTAAGTATCTAATTAATAACAACTATTAGACAGCAATTTCTGAAGTAGGGTAGTCTTTTTAAAGTTTAATACTGCAATAATTTTAACTTTTTTTTTTTCCTATGTTACTACTTGAAAATTTTGCTTATATTGAACGGTAAATATTTTATCTGGGAAAATTGCATAGTCCCATGTCATGTTATGGCTGTGTTTATTGGATTCAATGCATCTCCACAAAGTGCTTATAAATCACAACTTCAGTGATCTCTATTTCAGATTGCATAAGCAGATGCCAGTGTTGTGGTTCTGTACATTAACTGGTTATGATGGCAATAAAATCAATTATAAGAAATGCCACTTTGGAAGCCAGCACTATAAAGCAATTTGAACATTGGCAAGCTCCCATACCCTCCTGCTTCCACCTCCAGTAACTCAAGTGCAGTCATTGTCATGAAAGGTCGCATCTATATTCATAACGAAAAATTTCTCAAATAAATTAGTGCTGAACATAAAGCATGCACCAAGCTCTCTGACAGATTATTAAAAGGCTGCTCTCGCCAGAGGGTGCTTATCTTAATCTGGGGCACAGCACCGCAGCTGTGAGCAAAGGCACAGGAGCATCACTGGGTGCAACTTTTTTCTCTTGAAGTCACAAAAAACCTGCAAATCTCATATTTCTGTAATGGATGGTGTTGACTGGAATGACATCCCAGCAACTTTGGAAGCATTTCTGCTCCATATGTGAGGTATAAGTATCACTTCTTACAGCAAGGACATGAAAAAAAATTCTGTGTAGCATTATATAAAGCATTATATAAAGCTGGATTAGAGACTTTGAAATAAACTCCCTCCAAAGGCCTCCTGACCAATTTATAAAATGAATTTCAGTTGCACTAGAGTTATAAACATCAGACTTCCCTGCAGGCAAAACAGAGGTTTACTTTTCCGTCCCTGTTACTGAGACAATTCAATTCCTTGATAAACCTTCACAACACAGTAAGGTAGAAAGAACTAGAAAACAGGTCAGATCCAAATCTACTGTAAGCTAACACAGGTTTTTGTGAAGTTGGTGTGGCTGCAGAGATTTACTTGGGCAATCCATTGCCCCAAAACAGAATTATCAAAAACTGTTCCTTGTAAAAAACATGTATAAGATACAGAAGAATTTTCATTATGATACTAAAGGTGCTTCTATTTTCTGGGTTTTTTTTCTTTTAAATAATCTGGACTATTGAGTCTATTATATCATTTACATGAAAAGTTGCATTTAGAATTAGAATTATCCTGAATCTATAATTACCTTGGATGGTGGACTCATAAAAAAGTGCACTTTTTGCCCCCACAAATGTATTTAGAAGATTGACCTTCAATTCTGCAAGCATCTTAGTAGTCCAAGTCACAAACTTGAAAAGGACAGAAGTTGCTAAAGACCAGGCAAGTGTCTTTCTGTTAGCTGAAATTATGTTTTAATTGGTTATATTTGCAGGACTGCTAAACTTTAGAGTGGCCATCCTCTAGTCTTTGAAGAGTCCAGCTCTTCATTTTGTTGACTAAAAATCTCACCCATTGCTTGGTGGTTCCATTTAAACACATTGGTCAGAGAGGTACTGATGCTTTTTCAATGACAGTAGGTTTCACAGTTAATTTTTCCCAATATTTGTGGCATCTTATTCATTTTGATAAAGTTCTGAATTAGATGTTGATTTTACACCTCAAGCTGAAAGTGTAGCCCAAAACCAGGATGAAGCGAGCCCCAGTAGGGTGGAGGGAAATTGTCAACTGGCACGGACAGATCAGTTTTCCACAGCCTTTCTTAATTCCTTGCTGTTACTGAACAAAACAGCTGGAGTACACCTCACAGAAAATAAATCCTATGCTTGGAAGTGTAAGTCAGGGCTCAGAGCCTATGGATCTTTATGGAAGTCAGAAAGAGGTAGAAACACAGCAACCAGAATAAAGAGCTAGCAGAAGACGAAACCCTATTCTGATTAACATGGAATTTCCTCCTTTTAAAACCAGCTTAGTGGCTCATACCGTTTATGAGGCACTTTTCAGTGTCGGAAACAGACCTGTTTCAGTTGAAAGGAAAAAATCAGTTCACCTGAATGTTATTCACGTTTTTTAGATCTTCCACCACCACCCGACCCGCCCCCCGGTCAGGGTTTAAGGCAGCCCATAGTGCCCGGCCAGCGCGGAGGCTCTGCCGAGAGGAAGGGGAGCTCTCTGGAGAGGCAGCACGCCGCAGCCAACGTAGATGACACAAAGAGCTCCCTGGACCGGCCCGCTAGGACATCACTAGAGTGGCAGCGGCAAGCCCAGGAATGGATAAGCTCTGCAGACCGCCAAGAGGATTTCAGGAAAGCCCAACACAAAGCAGCCTTCGGATCAGGTGTGTGCGCGCCGCACCAGCCGAGGCCAGGCAGGGGCTGTGTCGAGAGCCGGGACATCCCTCTGGCTGTCCTGGATGGCTCCAGCCCCTGCCAGGGGGCTCAGAGACCCTGGCACAGAGCCCAAGACCCCTGTGACTTTGAATTTGACCCATTTTACCACCTTTATATGAAGGATTACAAGTCAAGAGAGTTTTAGAATGGCAGTTAGTTTGTCACAGGGTGCAAAGTAGCTTTTTGGGGTTTTTAGAATGGGGGGCTCAGGGTCTCAAGATGGAGGAATTTGGGCGTGTTTTGTCCTTCTCTCTCCTTTTTCCTAGCCTTCATGTTCTGTGCGATGCTGGCATGTTTGGACTGGTTGAAGGTAGTGTAGGAGCGTCGGGGGGTAGGATGGTCAGGACAGAGAGAGATGAGAGATCTCTGAAGCCAGGTCGAGGAATTTGGGGTTTGTTGCAAAGGGCCTGGGTGCAGGGCCCTGCTGGGAGCTGCCAGCCACAGCTCAGAGCAGGACTGAGAGAAGAGAGGGGGAGAGAGGATGAGAGGGCAAGAGAGTAAAAGTATAAGAGAGTGAAAGTGTAAGAGAGTGAGGTTCTCCTTACAATACAATAAATCTTCTTCTGTGTTGAATATTCTAATTCTCACAAACCAATCTAGTACAATATACAAATCTTATAGCATTTACATACAACCTATAAGAATCACTACATTACCATATTGTGATTTATTTTAAACCTTAAAAATGACTTTTTGGACCCCTTCTGCTAAGCTAGTAGGGTTTGCTCTGACCCTTGGACCTGTCTGCAGGCAGACGGTATTGTTTCATCAAAAGGGGATTACCTTCAGTCCTGCCACACCATTGTTTTCCAGTTGTTCAGTAACTGAGGTATCTCAAAACTTGCTTTCATTTAAATCTCGCTTGCAGTTTCTATGTTCTCATAATCTTTTGCCAGACAATCATATTTATAAGGCTTTCCTGTTTCATCTTCCCCAACAGGTAGGAACACACTGTCTCATGTAGGTGATAGGTATTGGGAAATTATTGTAAATAATGTGCACGTAGTTTTTTAGTATAAAAAGACAACACCGCCTCTGGGGGTGGTCAGTGTGCCTCTGACTGACCTGCTGAATGGACCTCAGCAGGCCAGGGAAAGAATGTTGTAGATAAGAAACTATAAACAACCTTGAAAGCCACAGTTGAGGAATCCTGACTCCTTCTTTGACTCCCAGGCTGGGAAAAGAGACTTGTACGTATGTCAGGGTCACTCTGACCAGCAGAGATTCCCAGAGGGCTGCTCCAACCCTCTGCCAAGGGGTTCTGTGCCTGGCAGGGCTCTGGGATCATCTCACACCTCTCTGGGAGAGTGCTGGCAAGGGTCAGGCTGGAAAATAAGGAAAGGGAAAGTGAAATGGGAGCTTGTGATACAGCTAGCTTCCCTCCTGCATCAATGAAATCTCATTAGCACCTGACTCGGTGCACTCTTTGCAGTGTTCTGGAAATTAATAATGTTCTCAAGCATAGCGATGGAGAAAATAGGAACAGTTTCAGGCCAGCAGGGAAGGAGAGAGATTTTTAGAGTATCTTTTGTTAGATGTATTTATTTATACATATAGGGCCATATTTTCCAGTTCTTTCAACCTGCTTCCAGGTTGGCAGCAGTTTTTACGTGTCTGCAAGAAGGCTGATCCTTCTGAGCTACTGACATTCCTTTCAGCTGCATTTAAAACCCTCTCTTCTCTTTATTCCAGGCTATGGCAAAGTAGCATTCATCTCTTAAGCCCAGCAAGATGACAGAGCAGGTTTTCACTTTCATACAGGACCTGCACCTTGCCCCAAGCTGACTTTAGCACCTAAATGGATTTCAAGTCTGCAGAAATGTGCACAGGAGGTGATGCTAGGCTGGAGTTGGATTTCTACAATATTCACAGTTTCCCTCTGTCAGCCTGACCTCAAGTAAAAGCTGCTCTTTTATCCTAGGGCGTTCTCTTTAACCCATTAATCACCTCATCCCAGTGCAGTGCTGATTAGAGTAATACAATAGGACAAATAAGATTTAAACAAAAAACTATACTGCATGTGAAGTTTTTTTGTAGGGTTATACTGTTTCTTCTCTTATGTATGTAGCTGCCACAGTCACACTAGAGGTACTCTTATAATCCATATTTTTCCTGATTTTATTCACTCTTAAAGCTCCTTGTTAATCTAACACACTAGTGCCATTGACATACTATAAAAAGAAGAGCAGTGTGCAGACAAATCTGTCATGGGGACAGGATTTACTGAGTAAAGTCCTCCTAGAGAAAATACTGCTACCTGTATTAAAAATTTAAATATTTTAAATACCATTCATATTTTTAAAAAATAACAATAATGGTACTGTTATAACCCCCTAATTTTTTGGCTGCATAAACAAGTGAGTGGCTGTTCATGTTCTGAAATCACAATGTGAAGTCACAGTTTAAAAATAGTGTGTGAAATTCATGCTGCTTGGTGAAATGGCAATTTTAATTGCAGTTTAGAAGATATACAAACACATTGAAAATAACCCGAATATACCGTACACTTCTCATTTCCTTGGAAATTGTTAAGGATGCTTCTCTGGCCTTTCTTACAAAGAAGTCCCTTCTTTTCCCTCTGTATCACAAGTGTGTAAATAGAATTTGTCATTTATTCTGAGATGCAGAGCTCATACAGTAGTAAAATTCCCATCCTGCAGGGCATGCATTTATCTGTCCATAAACAGAGAGAACTTGATCCTGACACTTCCAGTGCCCTAAACTGAGGTGGTTGCAGGTATCCTGTTCTTGTCAAATTCAGTATGCCAAGGGCAAGTGCATATGCTTTATGCATAAAAAAGGATGCCTCTAGGAGATGCTATGAGTTTGTCCTGGTGTGAGGAGTTCACAAATTTTGTGCACAAGACAGGCCAGGGCTTCATATCTCTCTGTCTGCATTGTCATTCCAGCCTCTTGCACTGCAGCTTTCTTGCTCTGCACTCTTGTCTCTGGTAGATTTAAAAAAGGCTACTCTTGTGCATGATGCTGGTTTGTATCACTGAATTTGGGTAGTTTAATAATATTAATTGTGCTTCTTCCCTTTTCCTTTATCAATGGCATAGTTCTTTGGAAATCCATTCTGTCCCAGTTTTCAATGCAGTTCCAAAAAAGAGTTGTTAGTATTAGTTAGCAGGTTCCAGAACAGTTGATTAACTTCCAGAACAGTTAATTAGCTTCCAGAAAATAGATAATTCGCAGCTTAGGGGGTTTCATTCAGATGTTACCAAGCTGTGACTTGAAATTTTGAAAGCAAGACCTTTAGTTTTAAGTTGAATAAAATAAAAATACCTAAGTCTGGGATCTCTGTTTCCACTGGTTGCTTTCAGTATAAACAAGATCACTGAGTTCCTAGCAGTGGCTTCATTGTAGAACTGGAGTTAAGGCGCATCAAATATGACATTCTCAGCTCCAAAGTGGTGCTATATCAAGTTAAAATGATTTTGATAGCAGGAAAACCCTTTTGTTTATTTTCTGAAGTATAAAAACATTTTTACACACACATCCTGATTTCACAGGGGCTAGAATTATATCTTCAAATTAATTGTTTAATTAAGGCACCAGCAAAACCTCCCCATATTATTTGCAGGCTTGGACATGGGGCACTGTTTGGAGAGTTTAATAAATGTGAGCCCATTCTCAGGACTGGAGATAACTACTTTTCGTGTGCTAGAATGTTGTGTAAAACCTAGCCTTTGTTTATGTCATAATTCCTTATTTTATGGATTATGTTTATTTCTGAGGGCACAACAGATAATTTAACATACCATATGCTCTATAATGATAATGCACTTTATATTTATTCATGGTCGTTTTTCCTCAATATTTCATTGAACCCGAAGGAGGCCTTATCCTGAGTCCACCAGCTAGAAAAACAAATCAATTGACTATATATGTCATCTTCCAACTCTTTTGCTCTGCTAGTGACTTTTGTTTTCATCCTTTAAAAATATATCCAGCTTTCTGCTAAACTGATTTATGCCACTTGCTTTATTGCTGCCTTAATGCAAACTGTTCCATATTTTAGCCAGCCTTTGGAAACCAGGTTTGCATCTGACTCCATTGTTAGGTCTTGATATGTAAAAAAACAAGTAACAATTTAGGAGGGACTGTGGCTGTTAAATGCCATTTTACAGAGTCTTTCAAGAATTTCTTTTTTTTCCAGCAAGGACAGCACACAGACATAGCACTAAACACTGATAATGCCCTCACGTCCTACAGCACAAATATTCTGGTCCCTTGGCAGGACCAGAGGGAGGTACTTTGGCAGGGAAAGAAGCCAGCTGCCTGCCCTCTTCTGCAACAGATTTAACTTAAAATCAGGCTCAGTTCACTCAGCAGCTCACATGGGGAATCCCCACATCCTACTCTCTTGTAGGCAAATAACAAAATCCTGCATTTCTTCCACAAATTTGTTCTCATTTTGCACTTCTCTAAGTTAATTATGCCTCTCCTGCAGTCTTTGCAAAGGCTTCAAGCTTGTGAATCAAAGCGTTTTTATCTCCTCTTTCTTTCCAACCATCCCCACCTACTTTTCTTTCTGTGTTCCTGCCCTCTGTCAAAGAAAATCCATTTCTCCTCAAAAGGTTGTTTAAGAGTGAAGACAATTGGAAAACCAAAATAAAGAAAACCTTTTGGACCTAAATTCCCTTTGAAAAAAGGCAGGATTCAAGCAATAGAAATCCCACTGATTTCAGAAGGGACAATGCTGTGTTTGAGGTTAGGCATATATACTCATGTTCTTTCTTGACTCAAACTATATTTAGCAAGATCTCTTTCTTCAGCTTCCGAGAGGGCAAAAGTGGATCATGCACAGCAAAGAAATAAAATAGTGATTCTATTTCAGTGTTATATCAGTTCTGCTGTTATGCTTCTTAGATTTGGGTTATTACAACAATATCTCCAGGAAATACTAATCAGAAGTGATGTCTTGTTTTACTTCATGCTATATGAAGACTTACAGTCTTATGCCTTATTGCCATTAATCCTGCTTTAGAAAGCAGTTCATTATTGCAGGTCTTCACAGAAAAAGAATCCAAGTGAGCAAAAGTAAGCCTTTTGCCAATAATGGAACATGAAACAAGCTGCAGGATTATTTATCAGCTCCAAATATTACAACTGCAATGTACAATATAATATTTTCCAACGTAATTCAACACCAGTTAAAAAAAAAATTGTCAGTGTACTTTGCATCGTTAGAAATTACTGAGTTGCTGGAAGCTAATTAAATTAGCTGATATTGTCGTTCTTTATCTAAACTGATTGGGGAATGTTGCCATAATTTAAGCTAAAGAAAAGGAGAAAGCACATTTATGTGGGCTTGAAGCAAAAATCTAATCATAGCTTCATTGTTTTGGAAATGGCGTGTTCACCTATTTTTATTAAAGTATCTATGATTCATGATCTCTTATTCATAATGAATCTAGACTTCTTATAATTAATACAAACTGACTTAGGAGTTCACAAGGAAGCAAGAATAAATTCATACTGGCTTCTCTATCCTTGGGATACAACTCTTAGTTGTGTATTTTCTTATGTAAAATTGTTATGCTCTAAAGCAAGAGAAAAGACAGATATGAATGAACATGACATGCATAAATGCATAGCTTGTTTATTCCTACTTCTGGGACTTCATTGATATTTATTTTGCTTTGTTTTGCTTTTCTAGAAGAGGCACTCGTACCATATAGTAAACCCAACTTCCCATCCCCTGGTGGCCACAGCTCTTCAGGAACATCTTCTTCTAAAGGATCGACTGGACCCAGAAAAGGTGAAGTCTTGCGAGGGGGTCACCAACGCAATGCCAGTGACCTTCTCGATATAGGCTATGTGGGAGCAAACAGTCAAGGACAGTTTACTGGTGAATTATGTAAGTTTACCTCCAGCTCCAGTTAAAACTCACAAATAGATAAAAGAAAAAGATTATAAATCTCTTGTGAAGAGAGTAGCAAGTTGTGTGTGATAGATAAATCTTTGTCAAGGTCTTTTTGCCTTCTGAAGCGTATTGCATGTGATGGCAAACAAATGTCGTCCTTCTGTTTCTTGCTTTGGACCAGTTCAAAGCTGTGTAAGCCATGCCAAAGTTATCTACATGGTACATCTCTCTGTGTGTAATGCTAGTGAAGCATGGGAAAAATTGAGAAGGAATTCTAGTAACTTGGAATATTTTTTGGCAAAGTGTAGTGTGCTTATCTTGGAAATGCCAGTGACAGATTTCCTCAGCCTTCTCCTTAATTTCCTGTTGCTTAATGAGAAGTATTCTCTCAGATGGAGGTCCTCTTTTGTTGATTGTGTACCCCAGTTTTTCAGTTTTATATCTCCACTTTTTTCCTCAGTATCCCAGAACAGGAAAATTGTTTTCCAAATGTGTTTTATATTATCATTTGATATCTGTTAAAGCTTTTATGAAACCATGTTGATGCTATGTACGTGCTGGCAGTACCAGCTGCCCAGAGGCTTGACTCTGTTGTTTGAAAAAGAACATCAAAACCCCAGTGTACTCGGGCATACTGGTGTGTTTAATAAACTTATTAATGGTCATAAAAGCAGTGGAGCTGCTGGCATGTCTGCCTCCTCTGGCTGCAGCCAAACCCTCAGCAGCTCCTGGCAGCCACTGCCCTGTAGCTGTAAGAGAACTAATGGTGACCCAGGAGCCCTGAAATGTTGCAGGCTCAGATATGGTGTTGGTAAGTGCTAAATTTTAGCATCCCTTGCATTTCATCTTAGAAGCAATTAACCCTGCTCTCACAACCTATTGAATATTCATCCTGTGCTGCAATAATATTGCCATAGGCTTTATTTTGTGTGGTTTTTTCTCCTTATTACAACCTCTTTCTCTCTTTTGTTTCTCTCTATAGAGTAGTTGAGAAGACACATTGCAAGCTGCTCTGATGGACCATCAGGTCTGAACTCATGGAAGTGATGACACTAAACAGTGCAATGAACATTTTCTTTATTTATGTACTATTAAAAGAACTGTAAATGCAATGTAAAGACACACAGCCACACATATCCCACAGATACTTTACTTGTGTTCTTCTCTTTAATACACCATCCACCTTAAACTATTCCTTGTCAGGAGTATATAAAAAAAAAGAAAGAAAAAAAAAAATCACCCTCCAGGATTAAGAGGATTTCCTTCTGTATATAATTTCTTTTGTTGCATTGCTATGCAAGCTCACCTTCTTTTTAGCTATGTTCATATTCATGTCTGTTTTTACTGGTCTGTTGTACTATATGTGAATTAATAGGCTGTGGTGCCATATATTAACTTTTAATTGTGTAACTTTTATGTTTAAAGTTTGCACTGCAATTTTATTTGGTGATAAGCACAAAACTCTACTCCTCATGACATGAAGAAAAAAAGAGACTGAATGTGGGAAGGTTTACATCCTGTAAGCTACTTTGGATGTAAGGGAGTGTGTTAAGTGGTTTTCCATTGGGGTGTAGAAATGAGAAAGTGACAGGCAAAACTGATGTCAGTGAAGACATTAGAGACAGATTTAAACCTTTTAAAAGCAAGCAACATAGTTGCTCTTCCTATTTAAGAAGGGGTCAGAAGTTGGAAGTGTGAGATTAAAGAATGAAAATGAAAACTAAAGGTAGCATGAGATGGCCTAGACCCTTTCACTAGAGTGATACCCTTAGTATCTGCTTTTAGCCATCCCATGCCACTAAGGGGAAGAAAACACAAACCTTGCTACAAATAAAAGAACTTAAGGTGTTTCACTAAAGCTGTTTTTATTTTGCAGTTTTAAAGGAATTATTACCATTAATTTTTTCAGCCCAAAACATAGGACAGAGATTTTTCAGGAGAATCAAACCACATAAACACAAGGAATACCTAGTAAGAAGATAAGAATGCAATTTATTACTAAGACATATTCAGGCTGCTTCCAAAAAATTGAAATGTCAGAGTATCTTATTTCATCTTTCCAATACATGTACAGTACGATAGAGGATAAAGCTGCACCACTGAAATTCATGACATTAATTGTTTTGATGCAGTCTACACAACCCTTTCTGTTCCATACCTGAAGCCTGCAAGAGCTGAACTTGGATCCACTAAATTTGTAGTAAAATGTTCAGTTTTTGGAAGGAAAGCAATGGTCAAATTATTTTTGACTTGCATTAAGTATATTTCTGGCAATACAATACATCCAAAAAGTTGGATATAAGCAAAGGAGATCTTTGAGCTGTGTTTTAGTGAGTGGCTTCAAACTCTACTATGATGAGGAAATAACGCACGTTTATACACTTTTTGAATAAACCAGACTCTGTAAGTGGACATTAATGACAGCATCCTGTCTCTCCATTAATTTTCATGACTTTGTCCAAGTCTTCTTTACCTCTCAAATCTCAAAGAATAAATTCTCAAGCTTTTCTTAGAATATTGTTTGTGGCTAACCCACCCATTACTTTGATGCTTAATTTAAATATTGCATCTTACAGCTTTTTTCTGTTAGTTATCTGACCATGAACACGAGTTTCCATTGAATACCCTTTTCATATAACCAGTCTATGTTGTTTTATATTTTGCCTTGGAGCTCACCAGTATTAAAAACACTTTTTGTCATGGCAGAATTTTAGAAAAGTAAATTACGATGCTAAATATGTGTTGCTTTTCATTTCATTAACTTGTTCCATGATAAGATAAAACACGACAGCCATCAACTATAACTCAGCACTATTGAATATTGAAAAATGCTAGTTAGCTCCCTTAAGGTCAAGATATGTTATTTAGCAAGTTACAAACAAAAAAAGGTTGAGGAAAAAAAGTATGAACTTATTTACGTATGTGACCAATGAGTATATGCAATTTTCCTGCTTGTTAAAACACTATAGTTAAAAACATAACTTAAAAATGTGCAAAAAATGTTCAAGTAAGATAAATAATGCAGCATAATCACATGTGCATGGTTTTTATTTTGGTATATACCATATGAAGAGAAGACTATTCAGAGTACAATTCCAATTTAATCCTCTGGAAAATGTTTAACTCAGTCACTGATAGTTGTTTTTTCCCCATTTAATTCAAAAGCTTGTGCTGAGCTTTGGTGGAACACCTTACTCACTCTGTTCTATTCAAAATTCAGTATCTTTAGAGGTTGATAAAGCCATTCCAATTCCTTTCAAATATGTGTTTTATCTCTTCCACTGGAAAGTAAATGTGTGTCAGTATTAAAGCTGTTCAGTACCATGATATTCACTAACTTGTCCATCTGCTTCTGTACATTTTTGTTCATTAATAATTTGCTTACAATATTACATAAGGTGTTGTTGTGTATGGCAAAGTGTCTCCATTATCTTACAGGTGATGTCTCTTCTTTTTTTTTCTCTCTCTCTTTTCTATACAGTGTACTTCCAATGAACCACAGTACATATTTTTTAAAATGCCATTTAATTTACTATTTTAAAAGAAGTATTCTTCTTTTTTTAAAAAAAATGAAAACATTTATTGTGAATAATGTGTTTAAAGAAAAGGGATGTTGTGGCAGCACTTAGAATTGTTTTTTAATTTGTTTTTTTAAAAAAAACTGTTTATTGGCTACAGTTTGTTCACGAAAAAGTATGACCTCTTAATGTGTTTCATTGGTATTGTTAGTGCAGCAAAGTTTAATTGGCATAAGAAGTTGGTTAATAGTACTGTTGAAGTGTGTATTGTATATTTACTGGGGAAAAATAAAACATATTCACATTTCAAATCTATGTTAAAAGACCTTGAGTAAGGAGTCGATGTGTGAAAACCCAAACAGGGAAAATCAGGCAATAATAACATAGACTGAGCTATAATCATCACTGTCCACTTACAGGTGACAAGGAACATTTTATACATTGTTTTTTGAACTAAGCCAGTGGCAAACATTGCCTGTCCTAGGGGTTTCTGTTTAATGTCCTGTCTCTCCTGGAGCAGTTGTACCTCTGTAATGGCACTGATGCAGCTATTCCAGTGAATATTCTGCTTGTAGCTGTTCCCTCAGTGTGGGCAGGCCCTGAGGAGGCACAGCTGGCTCTGCCTGAAGCCCACAGAGCAGTGGAGGTGTAAAGCCTGGTCTGAACCCTCAGACCTGGGGCTTGCTACTGGTGGGGCTACAGCCAGCCCAGTGCAGAATACCCCAAAATGTACGGATAGGTCAATTTTTCTTGATCTTTGTGCTCAATTTTAAATGCAGGAGGGCTGAAGGACCAAATAATGAATTGTTCCATGTGCTTCAGTGGTGTATTGCTGTATGGGCAGCCATTTCAGTGATGCAAGAAACAGACATTTCCTTTTTTGATGTTCCTTTTTTTTTCTTTGGCCTTTATTTCTCAAGCACATACCCAAGTCAGTAAACCTTTAGGATACCTTTTGGTTGTCACCTGAAATGCAACAGAAACACCATTCCTTGGGAAAAGTATTAAAGATAAGGTGCATGGAATGTTTTTAAGTATGTTAATTTAACTGCACACCAGTGAAAAAGGAAGACATGACTGTTTGGAATAATTATATGCTGGTTTATGCTTGCCTCAGCCCATGCATTGCCAGCCACGAGAAGAGGTGTGTGCTGAGGCTGAGAAAGAGTCCTCACAACTGAAAGAGGAAAGGGAATAGGGCTGGGGGAGATTTTGGCAGGAACTTCAATTTAAAAAAGAACAAAATTACAGGCAGCTCCTTTGGCTTGTCTACAATTTATGCAGTTTGGGGTTTTTTTATGGTTAATGGCCTTGTGGAGTCTTAGCAGGGGAGCTAGAAAGAAAAAAAGTTGACCTTTTGTAAAGATTGGGGGGTACTTCTTTGGTGAGGGAGGATTTTTAAATTTAATTTTTAATTTTTTTAACACATGTTTTGTGTTCCATCTATCTGGAACACATTAGCTAAAAAATAAGTTGTTTTTAAAAGCCATGTGGGGAGCGGACAATTCATTTAGGAGGCAAATTCAAATAGCAGGAAAAAGTAATACTAAAATAAGTAACACATACTGGTTTAGAAACAGCCAAGTCCACCACAGTTTCACATGCAATTTTGAACAGTGCAGGCAATGATGTGTATAAACTTCATTGCTTTTGCTTTGCATACCAAAACAAATTACCCAAAGTCCATAGGAGGCCTAGATCCTGGGGACACTGAATCTGGTGCTTTGTTTTAGATGTGTGGTTAATGCAGGCTGGTGAGAGTGGAGAACGCTCAGGGTTGAACAGCCCTGGCTGCTCCAGCAGAGGAGCCCTGGTGGCTCCAGGCTCAGTGTGTTTCAGTGCATCCCAGGCAGGTCAGCACCTGGAGGAAGGTCAGTTCTCTGAGGATGGAGATTTCAGGGCAGGGAGGGTTTTCAATGCCTGAGGCACCACGGGGGTTTGCGCTGAGCTCTCTTTGGTGTGTCTCACATTTTGGGACTGCCATCCCTCAGTGCTCTCCTGTGCTGATGCTGTTCCCTGGGTCTGGGGTGTTTGGCATGGGGGCTGCAAGAGCAGAAGAGCCATGGAGGTGCTCTGCATGCATTGAGTGGCTGGATATTTGGATAAAAGCTTTATTAATTCAGGGGCACACAGGAGAGCAGTGGCAGCAGGCATCTACTCTGCTGTGTCTAGCTTGTTCCCCTCTTCCCTTCAGGACTGAGCTCCTTCCTGCCAACTCTCCTCCACCCAAATTAACAGAAACAGCTCACAGATGTCTCATGGGACCCACAGGAGATGTAGGGCCATGCCTACCTGCACAGTGGGTATTTGAGGAGAGGTAGCTCTGAGTTCCACAGCTGGTGTGAGGACCAGATTCCTCTTTGGCCTGACTGTATTTAGCTGTGTAGCTGCATCCAGGAAGACCTGAGCAGAAAATAAGTTCCTAGAGCAGAGCTCAGCATTGCAGCATCTCTTCTGGGATGTGTCTCCTTATTCAGTCTGTTGTAGGCAGTCCTGAGTTCACTGCTGAGTTGTCAGCACAGCCTGAGCACTCAGATGGTTTATGCTGAAGAGTGAGGTTGTTCCTCTTGCTGTAGGAGAATGGAAAAAAAATTAAAAACAAAAAAATACCCAAACTTAAACCTTTCACTTTAACACAAAGCTTTTAAACAATGTTCAAAAATCATAGAAAACAGCTTTTCAGATATATGTTTGACAATTCTTTTCTTTTTCTTGGTATTTTCTTTTGGTTACCATTGAAACGATCCATTTGGTTTTTTTCAAAGCTGTAACACTGTCCCTGCACCCTCTCACCCCTTGCATTTTCCAATACTTTCCTCTGTAAAGAAGTTATGGTAAAGAGTAATGGCATTTGTGTACTTACATTGTTCTAACTTTAAGCAACAAGGTGCACAGTTGCATTCAGTTCAATTGATCAAAGCCAGATGGGCACAAATGTTTGTGGGTTTTTTTTTCTAGAAAGGCCTGCTATTTGTGCTGATATTTGTTCCACATTCATGCTGATCAGTGCATCTTTTGCCTTCAAGGATGCCATTAGTAATTCTCCTTTGTGTTCAAAAGCAGGAATCCATTGTGCAGCACTTGGAGAGCCACTCGGATGCAGGTAAAGAATATAACAGCTTGAGCAAGTGCTAATTAGAACCAATTAAAGTTAATTGACCTCCTTTGGCAGTAAAATGCATAATATAACTTGCTCTGTCCTTGCAAAATGGAGATCTTGCCTCTAAGCATAAGAGTGAAGCAGGGTTTCGTGTAGCAGCCCGTAGTAATTATGTGGGTATAACAACCAGGAAGCTGCTTGCTACAATTTGTTCTAATAACTGAGCTCTCCTGTATCAGGGCAATGCAATAAAAGTGAGATTTCTTCTCCAGTCTATTTAAAAAAACCCAATTTTTACAGAGCAAATGAGCATCCCAAGATACCGATACTAATCTCTAGGAATGAGTTGGCAGAAAAATAGAGTCCCTTTTCTAGGTAAGTAATGGTGTGAGCATAAAAAACAGGCAGTTTTACACCTGCTGGTTGGCAGTAGCCCTGATGCTCAGAGTTTGCATCTGTCCTGGTCAGTGGGGGAAGCTCTGGCAGGCCTGCACTTGTGAAGGATCTGCCCACAGTTCAGAGGGGCTCCCCACTGAACCTTGCCATGAGGTTGCCTTTGGCAGACTTCTGTTGGAAAAGGGGCACTGGCATCCATCCAGCTGAGGTTTGTGGTGCTGCAGGACTACACCCCTGCCATGGGCAACACATGGTCAGAGGTACCCAAAGAGAGAGAAAGAGTGAAGGGTAGGAAATGCAAAATTGTATGAATCCAAAAGCATCAGTGGTGGGTGCTAAACTATATACATCTCTGTGAAAAGTTGAAAAGCCATTTTTATTAGTAAACCAGAATTGATCCAGTTTCCATGACCATGCTTTGATGACTTTTTGCTTGGCAGGAACTGAATGCGACTGATTTTGCTGCTAACTTGGCCTTACTATGAACAGCAATAAAGGTGTTAGTCAGGTGGGGACTTTGATGTGACCAGTAACATCACTCTCCCTTCAGGGAATGTTCTGTGCTGGCTTGTTAATGAATTTCTTTCCTAATGAGTATCATTAAAAACCCTTTGATTAGCTATTTGTGTGAATGCCCTTCCTTTTTCCTCTTGCACGAGTGGCAGCAGGATTTTGCCCTAGGCAGAAAGTGTGCAGCTCTATCCTCACCTCATGAATACAAGTCTGAGGCAAACAGCAACAGGAAAGAGGGTGAAAAGAAAAATAAGAAAAAATTAAAAAGACCTCACGGATGAGTTGAAGTTATTTTCTACACGAGTACAACCTGAGCAGGCACCAGCATTCAGATGGGACTGTCATTAGGGGAAATGAAGAGCAATAGGAGGTGATGCTGAAGCATGCAACAATAATTTACATACACCTCGAGTGCCAACAGGCAGAGAAACAAATAAAGCTATAACCTGGGGAAAGGGAATGCCAGAGACTAAATGGACCGCAACGAGCAAACAAAAAGTGCCGTGTCATAAAATGTAGCAAAAAGCCTGGAAAACAAAATTAAAAACAAAGCAAGGCATTTCAGATCCCAGGCACCTTAATGAGATATTGATGGCACAGAAATTGCCTACTCCTGTGCAAGACAAAAGAAGACTGAGAAACACAAAAACAATTAGGAAACAGATTTGGCCATCTAAGGTTTAATAGAAGGAGATGTGGCATAGCAGAGTACAATTAATCACCAATTGCCTGAAACACTTTGCTCTCCCAAGCTACTGCAGACCTGTCTCCCCTGCTCCCAATCTTAAAATGACACCCACTCCAGTTTGTACTTAAAATAAACCTCTGCCATTCCTTTCCCAGTCCCTCAAATCTCCTAGTGAGTTGCAGACACTGATAAATAAATATTTTGTATTTACTCTGCTGTCACAGGCTTCAAACTACCTTCAGTCTACCCACCTCCTTCTTCCTTCTCTTTTCCCACCAGGCATAAACTTCATCTGCATATTTTCCACCTTGTTGTTAGGCACATAATGAGGCTTTTCTATTTTTGTCCCTCTTTGCCCAGAAATCTCTCTTAGCCACGTCACACTTGGGGATGTATAAAAGTTCACTTCATATTATATCTATGTGGAGTATGATGTTTAAGTTTAAACTAGGTCACTGGGTGCCTTTAGAGCATTTGTAACTAAGGGAGAGTCACTGATTGATGAGTCCTGATTTGAGAGGCTCAGCCCTGCATCCAGAGCCTGGGAAATCCAGGGGGATGATCACAGTTGCAGAAGGATTTTGGCCACGTGTCCGCTGTGCCACACGTGATTCCCTGCCTCAGTGTGAGCACAGAAGTGCACCTTAAAACAGCTGGAACAGTAAGGCACTCTGAGCAGGGATGACCAGCAAGTACATCATGGGTCTGGTGAAATCTGTGGGAAAATTTTAGTCTTTCCTTTAATCAAGATGAAGGATTAGTTTCTGTCATGTATGGGCAGATTTTTGCCCGTCAAAGGACTCCCTTTCTACTCTGTGCACTTTGCAGCCCTGGGACATGCAAACACATTCTGATTGTCTCAACACAAACGTCTGGGTACATTAAAAACCTGTTTCCAAACATGGGGCTTTGAATTCCCTCCTATTATAGTTCATATGCTCCTTTAGATCTTTTGAGGGTTACCCAAACCCCAAGTGATTTCACAAACACTTAAAATATTCAAAGAATAACCCTTCCCATATTTTCATATACTTTGCCGTCTACTTTAGACCCATAAAGGAGAAGAGGCACAATTTTCAGCTTTTCATTGCTGATATATTCCACTTCTGATTTCATGGAGGGATTTAGGAGGCATGATTTTAATAGAAACTGATGTCAATTAGTTAATTGGAAACTTAAGAGTAAAAGTACTAGACCTCTGAGATCTGGTAAGTACCATTGTACTCTAGCTGAGAGTAAAACCTTTCAGTACTTGTACAACTACTTTTTCCATAATTAATTGGATCACAGAATTACAGCATTTGGTAATATTTCTGATAGAGTTTTCTGGGTGAAGAAACTTTACTTTGAAACTGAGTTGTTCTGATGAGAAACTCCTGCTTGGGGCAATATAGGGAATTTTGTGGGACAAGGGAGACTCACATGCCTTTAGAGGTGTAATAACACTCTTGGGGGGAAAAAAAAGAAAAAAAGAAGAAAATCCAGGTAAACTCAGTGCCCTTTCATGAAAACATGTCATAAGCCAGGAAATGTTTGTTTTGGCAGGAGTGTCTTTGTGCCTGCCCTAGCACCTCACTGGTGACACTCAGAGCTGGAGCAGCCATGGGAGTGGAGGGCAAGGAGAAGAAAAGGAAAGTGAGGGGAGAATAAAAGGACATGCAGTATTTCCAGAACCATTTTCAGGACAAAAAATAATTCTTTATGTTCCTTGACAGTTCTGTAGCACATTATGGATCTAGTACACAGAAATTCTCCTTTTTCCCACAGCCTATTCTCTTTCTTTAAATTTGGATGAATTTAAATACTTGCTCGGAAAAGAGAGTAACAGAAAAAAAACCCCTTACATTAAAACCCAAAACAATGTGGGTCTGTTCTCAGTGCAGGCCTCTAACTATCAATTTTAGGATGTGTCAGTGAATTGATTATCGTTTGTAAACTGTTCCTAGTTTATATTATATTTACATTAATAATGACAGGATTCTCTTAATTGGTTCCAGGGAATAAAAAAAGACACAAAATTCCCTTCTTCTTTTTTTTTTTTTTTTTTTTGTGGTAAATAGATGCTTTTTTTCCCCTCTGCTACTCAATATTTTTGTT